GATGTTATTACAAAAAATACAAACTAAATTTCTTCGGTAAGTTTTCATTTAAGAAGAGGTACGGAAAAAGACATTTTAAATCCATTCACATTTTTTTTTAATAACACATTAATAATATAATACCCTTTTAATGGGCATTAAACAATAGTCTTCCTGATGATCGTTTAAGTAATAACACATCAAGTATGAGCGCGCGATTGTTAAACAGGTAAAAACTTGCATTTTTGCGATAGTATATTGTTTTTTAAACCCGCGCAATTTAAAATTAAGTTTACTAATATTAATATTTACTGCATTGTATTATTTAAATAATTTAAAAATATTATTTACAATTGATATAAATAAATATATACTCAATAAATAATAATTATATTGTTCAAATTTGGAAGAAAAAAAACTATATACGGTTATTACATTGCGATGATTGATTTATTTAATTAGCCCAATGACAATAATTAATACCTACATAAATAAATTATGGAAAAAACTATGTTAATAAACTTCAAGGATTTGTTCGGGTTTTTTTGCGTAAGTGTATATGTAAACTATGCATAAATACGATAGAAGCGCACTCTAGCGCGCCCGCGCCGCGGCGGCTGAAATATCGAGTGTACTCGCATATTTAACAATTAAAAAACAACGGCCTAAATTAAAAATAAGCCCCGATTACTCTTCACAATCTCGAAGTTGAATGTTTAAACTTCAATTTAGACACTTGGTAACCTCAAAAAAATAATAATTTACATATGTGTTTTCAAGCCTCAAAAATGCGTATTTTCGCGTTTTTCAGGCTTTAAATCGCTTATAACTCGAAAACTCTCAACTTTAGAGAAAAATGACAAGAGACCTTTTTTGTTTAAAATGACCCAAAAAAACCTAAAAAAAAAACGTTTTCCAGATTAAAAAATTTTTTGGAATTTTGTTTAAAAAAGATTGTTTAAAGAATTTCTGCCCAAAAAATTTCGCCCGACACCCTTCAGATTTGTTTAAAGGGGACATTTTTAAACCGGAAATCCGCGAAGAAACCGAATCAGAACATTTTCCCAACGGGAGCGGCCTCACAGCCTGGACTAGTAATATATTACATAGTATTTCCTCTTTGCACATAATTTTTAGAAATTCCGAGTGAAACTCGTATCTCACCCTATTGCTTTCCCGTATTTAGCGGTTTTTATTGATGTATCTACTTCACTAATTGTAATTGGGTGGTCCACTCTTACAGGTTATATTAGATAATAATACGTTCTTTTCATATTTAAATGTTTTCTCTACATAAATTTTCCAATTTTCCCTTTTACTTCTAAATATTTCCTGATTCATATCGTTTAGTATTGTGATGTCACATTCTATATTCGTTGTGTTTTCTACATTAGTCATTTTTTTGCTCTATAAATTGTATTTATTGGTTTTTGTGTATCTTCAATAGGTTAATGTATAATAATATTGTTCTCTTTCGGTTCTTTTGTTTGTTTTCAGTTTCAGAAGAAGATTTCCCACCAAAGGATTGTTATCCGAATTTATATCTGCACCGGATTTTATGTCTAGCTAAGGTTATCGCATTTTTAAATCTCATATTAATCATGATAAAATAAATCTGATTATTAAAAACTCTTTGGACTATCTTATGGTGAGCTCCATGAATACAAGAGTCTCGATGGAAATTTGAAGAAAGCGTTAGTTTCTGTTCCATGGCTAACATGCTTAATCTTTCATCCCTTTTAATTTTTTCACTAAATTTAAATAGCCCCATGACTTCACCACTTCTTTCATTTCCAAAGTTGGCGTTAGATCTCCCATAACCACTCCGATTTAATTTTCAGAAATTTTTAGAACCGCTCCTACTGATTTATAACTTTCTTTTTATTAGCTGTTGGATCATATAACCGAATAATGTTCATCTTAATTAGGTAGCGTTTTATTTGTATAATTATTCTTTCTGACCATGCACTGAAACTTTGTGCATATTTGGCGTTAACATGTGTTGGTTAATCACCCCAATTTCGAGTATATGATTTCCATTTGTATTGCCAGATAAGTACACTTGTTTGTTTAAAAGACACTGTTCCGAGTCCATCCAGCGCATCTTACTGACCCAGTATGACTATACTCATTCGATTCGTTTCTTTTCGATTATGGACCTTTATATCTCGCGTAAGAAATGCTTGGCATAATTTGGATATGTATTTTTTTTAATATTTTTAAATGCGTTTATTAAATCGGTGATTATTTGAGTCGTCGTCTTAAAATTAATTAGTCTTTAGACACACGCCATAAACAGAAACTTGTACATATTAGAACTGTATTTACTATTTTAATAGTATCCCTAGCACCAAAAATTTGGAATTCATGTCATGAAGTGGTACTTTTACATATGATAATATTTTCGACACACAGAAACAGAAATTAAAACTATATACAGTTCAAAAAACATGTTTTTACCTTTCTAAAGTAACATTTGTTATAACGCGATACCTATATTTGGATGGAAATAAGAATTTCATCATTAAACTAAAAGTATTTGAACAATTATACAAATGACCACTTCCATTTTGCGTTGTTACTTTATCCATTAATATTTAATCAATATATTTTATTTGATTATATAAATAATTCTGATATTAATTTTCAGTGGCAGCTGGTGAGGTGGGGCTACAGGACGTCGTCCTCCCTAGAAAAACGATGTACAAACAATAAATTATATTTCATATTTTCATATTTCGTATTCACAATTTTCTGTTGAAACTTGTTTAAATTAAAATATATTTACCTAACCGAACTAAAATTTGCAATAACTACATTTGTCTCAAGTGTCCGCACTATATTCGGAGCTGATTTCCTAGCGCCTGTTAAAGGCATGCGATTACCATGGAAACGACAATCACTACCTATGATTATTTCGAACTCTTCGCTCTATAGGAACGAAGCTACGTTTATTCGGGTGTCCAGGACGCAGTCAAATGATAAATTATACCATTTGCTTGGTTAAATATGACGCGTAGATAAATACTAGATAATTGTTTTGTGTTGATGAAGTTAAGTTGAAGTCTTAGGAAATTGCAATGAGGGTGTGTAAATTAATGAAATTAAACTTTAGTTTTTTGAGTTTGGCAGACAAGGTTAGGTCAAGGACAATGGAATTTAAAACAAGTGCAACCTGGTTATAAAAATCAAGTTTGACTCAAGTATCTACACCAGACGTTATGGTGGCGAAGAAAAAAAATGCGTTTTTTTTTTCTTTTGTTTGTTTGTTATTTGGTAGAGACGATAACTGGACAAAAGGTGTACGTAATTTGAAACATACGGCTAAAAGGTAAAAAACATGAAAAGTCGATCAAACATATGAACAATATTGTAAGCTTCCAGTTATTAGGCACAACTAATATCGCTTCTGGTTTAATTAGTGCATATGCCGAAAATATTTGTATGCTCAACGATATGGTATCAAAAATCCGTTACGTCCTGTAAAAAATTATGGATATTTTGAAGTTGTGCGGTAAATGCGGTCTTGCACTACGTGATCGTAATGAGTCCGAAGGGTCGATTAATGAGGGTGTGTTTTTAGAATTAGTTGATTACATTTAAAATATAGATTCCACATTGTCTATTAACTGAAAAGAAGCTAAAAGATTTAAAGGTACTTCAAAACTATACAAAATTGCAAAAGGGGCAACTTTTAAGTACAATAAAATAGTCTTCATTTCTTGCCCTAATGGCAGACGATACAACCGATGTTTCTACGCAACCTCAGACGGTATTAGTACCTTTTTACTTTATTGGCGGGAAAACATATTGGCGATTTTGGGATTTTTCAAATGCAGAAAGTCAAAATGCTGTTCGGGTATTGACTTGTATTTAAGAACAAATTATTCCTTTTTTAAAAGTCTCGTCTGAGAAATTAATTGGACAGACGGTGCTGCTGTGGTTTGTGGACAGTTGTGAGGAGTTAATATTAAAATTTGAGAAATTTATGAAATAAAATCTCGAAACGTGTAGAACAAAGGTGGAGCTCAAATTGAAATGAAATAAAATCGTTTAATTTCATTTCAACGTCTTTTCTCTGGGTAAAGAGTGCAAAAGATGGTGTTTTTCAAGGGTAATCTGTGGATTGGCAGTTCACCTAATTTGCCATCGAAGAGAATTTAATGTTGCCTCACATAAAATACGCATTTTTTACTCTTTCTAACACAATAGCGTTACAGCAAGTGATAAAGAAACGAATTGGAAAACTATTGTAAAACTATTACAAACACGATGGAGTTTTTAGTCTAGAACGATACAAACTATATCTGAAAATCAAGACAATACTCTGAAGTGTTTTGAAAATATTGAGTCCGGAAATCCTACAATATATAACACGGAAACCACAGATCAAGTCGCTGATTTCGTCAAATGGTTTAACGATCCTACATTCCAGTATTGCTTGGATTTCTTTTACAAAATACTGCCACATGTTGACACATTATTTAACCAAGTGCAGAAAATTGACACGGACTCTGTGAATTTTTACAATATTCTATTGACAGTTTTGAAAAAATAGTAGTTGTTCAACATCTGAAACAGTCTAGTCCCGGAAACGGAAAATATGCAAGAATCGCGAGGACCGAAGAAGATATTTTACTCTCGGCCAGAAATAACATAAGAAAACGAAAATGTAATCGGTACGTACTTTAACTTTATAGTGTCATATGAATTCAATTCAAACTTTTGTGAAAAAGTAAAGTTTTCATTATTTTAATAACGATGCCAATGACAATTGCAGGAACTGAAAGATGTTTTCGCTTTGAAATTGATCAAGATGTTTCTAATAAATACAATATTGGAACACATACTGAAGGCGCATGTCACGTTCTCCATCTTTTTGGCTTCAACGAAAAGGATTGAGTTTCATTTTAAGAAGTAGACTTTTAATATATTTAAATTTTTAATCTTCTTGAATCAGCGCCCCCTGAACAAAATTATCACCAGCCGCCACTCTTAATTTTAAGTACATGGGTACATACCTGGGGGGCTTGGTGAGGTTAGAACACTTTCAACTCCTCCAGAAACGACAGCCACTTGAGGTGTATTGCTAGATGAATCTCCAAATCGCGATACATGGGGAGAAGGTTGCAACGTAGCGAATATTTCTTTCGGCTGGGCTAAAGGTGATAAAACATTAAAATATAAAAACAATAGCAGTAACAACCTTAAACATACTATTGACTGTAAGTTACAATATTATTTTTATATATCTTTATATAAAAATTTTCTAACATTTTGACAGTTACCTAAATTGTGATTTTTACTTTAAAACCAATACTGTTCTAAAGTATTTTGACATTTTTATACCATTATCTAAACGGAAAAAATACTTTTAATGTTTGAAATCGAAAACCGTCGTTCCTATTCGAGAATGGAAACATTTATATAAAAAAAATTATTAATCAAAATAAAAAATTAATTAATACTTGTATGTTATTATTCAGATAAAAAATTAACCAGAAATATATAAAAATTTGTATAAAAAAAAATAAAACGAATTTTTAAATATGAAGATATGTAAATTTATATTTAAAAATCGGGGATTATTATGTAACTGTTTGCAATCTATATATATATATATATATATATATGTATATATATATATATTATATATATATATAAATATATATATATATATATATATAGAAACAACCTGTTTAATTAGATTTTAATCAGGCTACACTTCGCATCTAAAATGTATGTTTAAATATGTATTACGCAGCCAATATAGTATCGTATAAGATTGTTACTTTCAAAGAATATGAGTATTAAAATTCTTTCATCATATTTCTCATGGATAACTATGACCTGAATTGATATAGAAACTGTGTGTCTGTTAGCCAATCATTTAGAATGGGTTTCTATGTGTATATTCAATAATTTAAAAAAAGTAAAACACCGGGAAACTATGTACATTTTTTTTTCATTCTGAAAATGCGTTTTATAATAGTGAAAATTTTTGATACAACTCAATTGTTTTCTACTAAACTGACTACTGACTTTTCTACTAAAATGAATATTTTCTTGGGACGTTTCATCTTCGACAATATATTGTATTCATGTAATCAGAAAGCGCTAATGAAAACGCAAAACGTTGAACGTTTTAGTTTAACAGAATACTAACAGTAGACTTACAACTTTTTACTGATATATGATAAATTAGTAAAGTCTATCTCAATGTATATTTTCTTGGTATTTTCAAGCATGCTTCTTAATGCGAAAAAAGACGGGTTAAGCAAATAATGGCTTGATAAGCACTGCACCTTCGGAAGCAATAACGTTAAATGTTAATGTCACCTAAATTTGACAGCTTTCCAGGAAAACGTTAAAAAGTTTATAAAATCCTTCCTTGCCGACCGTACATTGACTATGTGCCAGACAGTAGTAGAGTTGAAGATATTAGAATTTACATAAACATAAGGCATTGAGAAAACCCTCTATAGTACAACAATCCAACTGTTCCACAGAACGTGTTCCGCCGAATGGTCACCAGCCCGACAGAATCTACAATTCGCACTTTCTTACAATCCGATTTTGTTCATGCGCCCCTTGAGGCAACAGTGTACTGTTAGAGACCCTTAATAGTGTACTGTTAGAGACAGATAATTCCTTTCTAGTAGATCTTTGGATCTCTTCTTTGAAGGTTCGTGTATAAAAGCCTTCAGATGTTTGAGAGTTGTTCTTTCGTACTAGAGGTTACGTTTTCTTCCAGTCCGATATTGTTCTTTTGACTGTGTTTCTTGCTATGCCAACGAAAGTTTCTGGGCTTATGAATGTTTCTTTTGCCCCTCCCCTGGCAATAATGTCCGCTTTTTTGTTCCCTTTAATACCCAAGTGTGTCCAGGCACCCAAAGTAAACTTACTTTGTTAATTTTTTCGATTCGAATAAGATTCCACCGAAAGACAGACAGAAGAAAGAATATTCCACACTAACTTGGAGTAAATTCGATTCAATTCCAGTCTTGAATGCCGCCTGGATATAAAACATAATTTTTATAAATTTTTCTCTGCAGTTCTCTTTATTAGTTTCTGCAGGCACATGTAGCATAAATGGTCCCCCCTATTTCGGTATTTTGTAAACGCAAATAAACTTATTTTAAACTTAAATTGTGGCTTATTCCATATAAAAATAGTAATTGGGTTTAAAGGTCTTTCTCCTAATTTTTGAATATTCTAAAGGCCTTAAATTTTGATTTGATCTAATTTGAAGTCTATAATATAGAGAAAATCCCCCAAAACTAAAAAAACAGTTTTTGGGATTTTTGAAGATAGCGCACCATACAGAAAAATCTGAAAAAAATCAGAGGTATAGTTTTTGATCAAATACATAAAAAAAAAATTGGACCTGCAGCCACCTCCAAAAGAGTTATACGCTTTTTTTTCGAAAAATCAAAATGAATTTTTAGGTTATTTACATTCAAACCTACGGGTCTATCGAAAATAGATAAGTTTTGTAAAAGCCTCAATTATTCGTGTGAAATTTATGCATCTACTATGCATCCCACCTAAAAAAAAACGAAAAATTTATGTTTTTGGGTTGGGGTCAGGAAGTAGTAAAATGGCGGGAAATAGATCAGTTAAACATATCAAAGACCATGAGACCTGATAAACTCTATAACACTCATCCACACATACCTACGATTGACCGGTTTGAGGTTGTGAGCTCATACTTACATCTAAAATCATTAATCACAAATACAGAGTTACTAAAGGAAGAATTAAAACGTAGATGTGATCTAACAAAAGTCGCCGTAAGAAAGATGGCCAAAATATGGAAGGACTCTTAAATTTCACGATCTTTAAAAATGGTTGATCTTTACATATATATTTATATTATATATATATATATATATATATATATATATTATATATATATATATATATTTAATAATATATATATATATATATATTATATATATATATATATATATATATTATTATATATATATATTTATATTATATATATATATATATATATATTTTATATATATTATATATATATATATATAGTCATATATATATTTATATATATATATAATATATATATATATATATTATATATATATATATATTATATATATATATATATATATATATATATATATAAATATATATATATATATATATATATATATATATATATTTATATATATATATTATATATATATATATATATATATTATATATATATATATATATATATATATATATATATATAATATATATATATATATATATATATTATATATATATAATATATATTTATATATATATATATATATATATATATATAATATATATATATAATATATATATATATATATATATATATAATATATATATATACTATATATTATATATATATATATTATATATATATATATATATATATATATATATATATATATATATATACTATTATATATATTATATAATATATATATATTATATATATATTCATATATATATATATATATATATATATATATATAATATATATATATATATATATATAATATATATATTTATATATATATATATATATATCTATTCAGTCCTGACCCCACACCCCCCGAAGGGAGTGTAGTGGTCGTCGTGATGTCAAATATTGATCGTCTGCAAAGATCTCTTTCTTCTTCTTCTTCTTCAGCCTGTGTTCGTCCACTGCTGGACATAGGCCTCTTCCATTTGCTTCCATCGATTTCTACTTTTGGCAATTCTCATCCACTGCTTGCCCGCGACTTGTTTGATATCGTCTGTCCACCTCTTCTGCGGTCTGCCTACTCCTCGCCTGTTCTCTCTTGGTCTCCAGTTTGTTAATCTTTGTGTCCATTTTTCGGGATTATCTCGGGCAACGTGTCCGACCCATTGCCACTTGAGCCTTGCAATACGTTCTGAGACATCAGTAATTTTTGTTCTTTCACGAATGACGTTATTTCGAATCCTGTCTCTCAAACTAATCCCTAGCATGGCCCTCTCCATTGCTCTTTGGGTTGTACTGAGCTGCTCTAAGGTTTTCTTTGTGAAGGCCATGGTCTCCAGTCCATATGTAGTTACAGGCAAGATACATTTGTCATAAACTCTACGTTTTAGACACATTGGTATATCTTTATTCTTCAAAATAAAGCTTAATTTGCCGAAAGCTCCCCAAGACAGTTGTATGCGTCTTTTTATTTCGGCTATTTGATTTTCTTTGCCAATTTTAATGGTATGTCCAAGATATATATAGTGGTCTACATTTTCAAGACTGACGTTGTCAATAACAAGATTAGTTTGTAAATTACTCATTATTTTTGTTTTCTGAAGGTTTATTTTGAGACCTATTTTATTTGACTGCTGGTTTAATTCCTTCAACATTTGCTCCAGTTCCTTGATATCTGTACTAAATAATACTATGTCATCCGCAAACCTCAAATGACTCAAACGTACACTATCAATGTTTAGACCTTTTTCCTCCCAGTCAAGCTGTTTGAATACATTTTCCAATGCTAAGGTAAAAAGCTTTGGTGAAATAGTATCACCTTGTCTAATACCTTTATCAAGGCGCATTTTTTCAGTTTTTTCGTCTTCATTGATTTTGATGTGGAATGTGGCCTGTTCATAAATGTTTTTAATGAGTGTAGTGTACCGTGAGTCTATTTCGAGCATCCTTCAGGGCTGACAAAAAGGACCAAGTCTCAATACTATCGAAAGCCTTGTGAAAGTCGATAAATGTCCATATGTAAAGGTACATTATATTCTGTGGTTTTTTCTACTAGTGTTCTGATGGTTTGTAAGTGATCATTAGCGCCAAACCTTTTCTAAATCCCGCCTGTTCAACGGTTGATATAAATCAAGTTTTTGTGTTATGCGGTTGGTTATTATTCTTTGTTAACAATTTGTATAAGTGTGACAACAAACTTCTGTAGTTTTCAATATTAGTAGTGTCTCCTTTCTTGTGTAAAAGTATTATTTCGGCGTTTTCCCATAGGCTGGGTATTCTTTTTTCTGTTAGACACTTATTCAGTAAGACTTCCACAACTTCTACACGTTGCCGCCCATTTTTACATTTCAGACGTTATACGATCCTCGCCGGGAGCTTTTTTGTTTTTCATTTGCTGTAAGGCATGTCTAATTT